TATTATACACCCTAGAGAGAGAAAGCCTTAGGAAGGCAGGAGGATCAATGAATTCTCTCCCCTAGAATGAGAAAAGAATGACAGTCCCTGAGAGAAAAACAAAAAAGAGATGAAACTACAAAACTAAAGGTGTCAAACACTTATCAGGATTGCTTATTTTCTGATTGGGAAATCAGGAAAAGCGTGGTGGTGAAAGGCCTGAAGACCGCATCCCAGGGCACACTCAGGATGCTCCTCTCTGGTCCAGCCTGGGGACGGTAAAAGTTCCAAAAGACAATACAGATTTCCAATGGAAAACAGAGCACAGGAAAGGTCAATACTAATAGGTGGATACCAAGCAGGAAAGCAAAGCACTGAGAGATAAAGTAAAAAACATGATTGGCTCTGGCAGCTGGAGATGAGCCATTTGTCAGAGACATAGGGTGAAACAGCAAGAGGAGAGGAGGTGGAGGTGCTCGAGGGTGCTCTGACCTTAACCCTGGCTTCAGTGTACTTCTTTGAGTCAGGGACACCATAGCAGGCTAGCCACTGTGAGCCAAATAAGGGGCTATGGAGAAAAGAGAAATGAAAAGCCAAGAAGGAAAGCCTATCCTACCATAGGAAATTAGAAAGTTTTACTGTAAGTTTTAAAATCCTGAAAAGCAAGATATTTGCATCTGACTTCTGAAAGTTAGATGAGCCTTTAAGTAAAATTTGGACACCAGGATGGATGGAGATGAAGAAGGAGGAAAGAGGAGGATATCTAAGGCCTGCAAAGAAATATTTATGGGAACAAGGGCAGGAGACAGGGAGTTTGGCCCTCTGCCTAGTGGGGAACTGACATAATAGGGGCCTTGACCAAGTTTTAAACTGAAGTCCATTTTAAAGAGCAAAACCTCTGTCTCACTAATAAAATATTCTGGAAATTTTGGTTGAAATTTTAACAATTATTTAAGAAGCAATATTGATGACACTAATAGTTTAACAATATATTTAAAATATGCGTAAAAATTTAAGATGATTGAAAATTATTGGAACTCTCCCCAAGATATTTTTTGTGCACAGAATGTACATACACACTTGTTAGAAGACACCTGAATATACTCACTGCAATAGAGTTAAACATAGACACTCAAACGTGGTCACATGCATTCACATGGACACACTCAGATAAAGTGTCACACAGGCATGCGGTTATGCACAAGTGCATGCATGCACATTCATACACAGACTCATTCACACACACACACACACACACACACACACACACAGAAATGTACCGCAGGTTTTCTTCTTACCTGGGCTTCAAGTGTTTTGATCTTTTCTTTTAGATTTTCAATCCTTTTATCTTGTTCCTTTAAAGAATTTTTTAATCCTTCCATCTAAGAATTAAAAAAACACAACTGGGGAAAAAAAAAATCTCTTCAGTCCCAAGGGACTAGTTAATCAAACCACAAAATATATAGCTTTCTGAGGTCAAATGATGTTCGTCAAATAAAAACATGAACTCTCAGCACTAACAGACTCAGCAGGCTCCAGAAATGCACAGGCAAAATTGGCACCCAGGGAGGAAAGCACTCCCATGGTGCTGTTGTGCATTTTACTCTCTGGATAACCCATTTACACAGCAGAGCACATCCTGTGGAAAGCAGCCCTGGCCATCCCTAGATATCTCAGCCACTTGATGGCCCCATCCACAAAATGCACCTGTTGGAGGGTGCAAGACCGGCTCCTATTCAGCATGCCCAGGCTCCCTGAGGCGGAGACCGTGTCTGCCAGCAACAAGAGATAAGCCTGCTTTGCCAAAGGGCCACATGAAGCTGTGGGAGGGAAGGAGTGGTAAGGTACAAGATAGTGCTGGGAGAGAGGGCACATTTCTCTTCCTCAGCTTTGTCACTGCACCTACTCAAGCCTTGGTTTACTCATCTGTAAAATGACAGTGTAGGATGCTCCCAAAGTCTCACTAGGGTCTGAAATCCCAAAACTTGTTAACACTTAGGAGAGATCATAAGAAAGTACAAATGCCACATTTAAGTCAGGAAAGCACTGGAATGATTGGGAAAGACTGCTTTAGAAAGCAACTATCAAGCATGAAGCAAAAGCATCGAATGGAGGTCTGATTTTGAATACACATCTGGAAGTAGATATTACATACTCATGTAGTTTACCATATGGCTGACAGTCTACCATTATCTCTTCTTTTTCACCTGTCAGCATGTTCTTAGAGAAGAGTCAAGCTATTTTCAAGTGTAAAACACCTCTTAGCTAATCTTATTCTTCATGAGGTTATAAAGTCAGATAACTTCTTACTCTGGAAGGGCCTGACACTTCAGATCTATGATTATGCTAAATAAGAGTGAACAGTATCTCACTCAGAACACTTACCTCAAACCAGTGAAGGACTGATAAACACAACATTCCAAATTATCTTTACTGAGAATAGGACAGGTGTTAGTGTTACAGACAAAAGAAGGCACAGAACACTGAGCCGCACAAAGTACATGAGAAGCAAAAGAGTTGGTCAGCAGGGAGAAAAGTGTCATTACTTCTGAAGATTAGACGTGCTACTTAGGTTTGAACTTCAAATGATGCATATACCACCGAGAAACACGTGTGAGTAGTCTGACCTCCTGGATGGTGCTGTGCAGGTTCTGATGCTGGGAGTGAATCACCAACTGTAGATGGGAGATCTGCTCCTGGAGAATGGAAATCTCCATTTGAAGATCCTGGCAACTGAGAATAGAGGGAGAGAGA